TAAAAAATCTACATCAAAAACATATATAAATGTATTATATTAAATGATTTAGTTGCTTTTTTACTATTAAAAACCTCTTTAAAGCTTAAAAATATAAAATCAAATTTATGTTTACAAAAGAACATCTTAGGGTTATTATAGGTTATAAAAACAATGTTTTATGGCATGTAGAGACCAAAAAATAATTTTTTGGTTTAGATAAAACAGTTTATTATAAAAAAACAAATAGTGAGAGGTGTGATGAAAAATATCAAAATTACACCAATAAACATGGAGGAAGAAATTTAATGTTATAAGGTAGCTTCTCATATAAAGATGTTAGAAATATAGAAGTAATAAATATAATAGTTTTATTGTACAATAAATTTTTAAACAGAAATTTATATTTATCTGTTAAAAATTCAACATGGGTGATAATTTTATCTTTCAACAAGATAACGATTATAAACATAAAGATGTTTTAGCTAATGATTTAAAAAAAAGAAATATAACCTTTAAAATCGCAACATAAAGTCAAGATATAATTCTGATAGAAAAAATGGGTATTTTTTAAAGGTTAAAGTCAATGAAAGAAGACTAAAAAATATTAAAGAATTAGAAAAAAATTGTTTTAGATAATGGTATAAACTATCAAAAGAAATAAACGAAAGATTTGTTTGTTCATTACCAAAAAGAATTGAATAAATTGTTAAATCTGAGGGATAAATATTATACATTAAAAAATATTATCTTATTTGTTTTTTCTACTTTAAAAAATCTTTAACATTATATGTTATTTAAAAGCATCTTTTATATAAGATCTTTTTAGAAAGACGTTTTATCACAAATGAAAGACAATTTAAGTTATAAATTTATTGAATGTTTTTAAAACAAAATTTAAAACCAATCTAATTTTTATTTTCAGCCACATTATACAAATGTTTTTATTTTTGGATTTAATATATCAATATATGATTTTAAATGAATTATTTATACGGTATTACAATATAAAATGTTTAATTTATAATTATTGAAAACTCCATTCTTTAATAATTAAAACGAGTTTTAAATTTTTCTTGAATTTTTTAATAAAATTATAAAGAATTTAAAACACTTTCAATAATTTTGATAAAATGATTAATATTAAAAATTAAAATAACTTCTCGCAACGTATTATAAATCTTTAACAATTTATTTGAATTGTGGTAATATGTGAAATCTTTTTAGTTGTTTTGTGGTAATTTTATTTTGTTTATAATTTTTGGAATGTAATTTATTAATATTTTAATAAAGCTTGTTTATGAATATTTAGAAGAATATAACCCCTCATGATAGATAGAGAGACAGAGGATATATACGAAGAGCATGTAACATTAATGATTACAAGGAAGATAAAATAGAAGACAAGGTGTCTTCTTTAGACAGGTTAAATAAACTAGTTACCACTACTACTGGAGGTTTTGGTATGAATAATAAATTTTAAAGTCTAAATAACATTAATGATTACAAGGAAGATAAAATAGAAGACAAGGTGTCTTCTTTAGACAGGTTAAATAAACTAGTTACCACTACTACTGGAGGTTTTGGTATGAATAATAAATTTTAAAGTCTAAAAATAGCTTTAGTAATAATTGAAAAATATAAAGTAGAGTTGATTGTTAATCTAAATTAAATCTTTTATACTAGTTTGATTTAATTATAAAATATTTGAAGTTTAAAAAAGTAAACCAATCAGGAATCGAACTTTAATAATAGCATTAAGTTTTGATATTAAACCAGAGTGCAATTACCTTATTATTTTTTATAATATTTAAATTGAAATTTAAAAATCTTATAATAAAAATTTCAAGAACTGAATATTTTAAAAATGAATGATGTTTTTTATCTAAACAAGACTTAAGAATTAATTCTTAATTGATAAAATTAAAAAATATTATAAGTTAAAAAAAACTAAAAAAACGAACTTAATTAAAAGTAACTCTGTTTGATTTTAAACAGAGCTCAATTTATTCAAATATTTAATAATTTTCTAAAATATTTAAAATTAAATAAAAACAATTATAATAAATTTATTAAGATTAAATTTTTATAGACGTGTCTTATTAAGTGAAGTGATCCTGTTATAATATAATATGTAAAATAATATTGTGTTCTATTTTTCAATGGTTTGATTGTTTTTGTAATAGTAGCTGATAGTAGTTTATAATAACTAATTTATTTAATCAAAAAGTTTTTCATTAAATTTAAAATTAAAAACTTATAAAAACAAAAGTGAATAAAAAATATTTCATTGAAACTTTTTTGATTAAGTTTTAAATTATTGATGTGGTGATACCACATTTTATAAAAATAAATGTCTTTTTGTCTAAACCTACCTTAATTCATAAACAATATAATTATAAAATATGAAAATTAATAATAAATTAATTGGGAATCGAACTTTTTTAAAAGAAACCAGTTTTGATATTTAACAGGTAATCAATTGGAATTATATGTATTAATCTTCCAAAATATTTGAATTGAAATCTAAAAATTAAATTTAAATTTAATATTTTAAATTAACTGATTTTCTAATGTAAGAATTTATTTCAGATTATAATATTAAATTATGAAATATACAAAATTTATCTTATATTATTTAAAAGCAAAGTTATTAAAATTAAAATTCTTTTAGCTAAACTTGATAATTATTTTAACTAAAATGTTATAAATTACAATTCTTTTAATGATATTTTTAACATCTTTTATTTATTAATAATAATAAATAACATTTATGTATAAAATTAATATAAGACAACCAACTCTTTTATAAAATCTGTCATGTCACAACATGACAAAGATTGAAAACCTTTTTACTTAGTCTAAGTAAGTAAAAATTGTAAATTGTTTTTTTAATATTGAAATATTAATTAACTTTGTTTATTTATAAACAATAATAATATTTAAGGAATAAATAAATTACTTACCCCGAAAATATTATATGCCTATTCCCCAAAGCAGTAACAGTAGTTACGGCAAATTCTAAGCATATTTTTATTAAAAAGGTCGTAACTTATCAAAGTTGCTTACAAACAAAAAGGTGTTTTATAAAGAAAGTATTTATACAAAAAATTGTTTAACTTTTAAGATAAATAATTAAGAAAAAAGATAATAATTATAGTTTATATGTTTATAAAAAAATAAATTATGATAGATTAAATAAACTTGTTTATATATCCTCTACTGATTTCGATAAAAAAATTTTTTTGAGAAAAATTAAGATTTTTTAATAGAAAATAAAAGAATTAAATGCTTATGTCATTTAAAATCTAAAAATTATTAAAATATTTAATAATTATGAAATTTGTTATTTTAGTATTTAAACTTTTTAGTTAAAAAAATATTATTTTTAACTATACATTTTAAAATTTTATGTGTAATATTTTATTTTTTTATCTAATAAATATAAAAATATGTTCGTTTTTAAAAATTATTGTTCAAAACGAACATTTATATTTTAATAAATAATATAATTACATTAATTAAAATAATAAAAGTGAAAAAACCAAAAACTATGTAATATGTTGTAATAAAGTTACAACAAGAAAGGTTTGACTTTCATCTAATTTATTCATGCCTGTTTCTATTGTGATCTTTGTATTATAAAAATAAAAAAAAATATTTAATCATCAAATAATGATAGATAGAGAAGATAGAGATAATGAATCTACCAGTGACATTTCAAGCATGAATAAATTTATAAATAATGCTGATGATTGGAGTTACGACAATATGATTAATTAATTCTTAAAAAAAAGAAGAATAAAAAAAGATTTTATACAAAGTTAATTCTATATATACATTTATTTAGTTGATTATTAGTATTAAATATTTTATTAAATACGAATGCTTTTTCTCAAAGTACTATATAATTAGAATTTAATTTATAACGATGATATTGATTTTATCTAATAATGTTGTTGTATTGTGTGACTTCTCCACACTCGTCTGATTTCTGTTCTTCAGTTTCTTTAAATAAATTTCTTTTCTTCTTCATAGTTTATTAAATATTATAAGTTTCTAAAAATAATTTCTTAAATACCCCTGTTCCAACATGGGATTCGAACCCATGACTAAAGATTTCTAATCTAACGATGTTAAGTAAATTAGTTTCATCCTTCAAATGTTTTCTTTTCTCATAATATAGAAATAAAATAATCTTACTTTATTCTAGTTATAAATTTATAAATAAATACAATTTTTTTGTAAAACATTTAATTTAATAATTTTTAAAAATTTTTATAAAAATTTTTCGTTTTTAACTTTAAATTAACCA